TCTAATGAGTTAAGCCTCCTCATGATGTGGCCAGTATCATCTTGGCTTCCAGGGAGAGTTCAGACTTAATCTATTCAAGGACCCATTTGTTTTTTGGCTGTCCATGGTATTCTCAGCACGTTTCTCCAGCACCACATCTCAAATAAGTTGATTTTCTTCTTATCCGATTTCTTCTGATCCAGCTCTCATATCCATACATGGTGATGAGGAATAAAGTGTATTGAACAATTCTAAATCTAGTGCTCAGTTGTATATTTTTACAATCTAGTGCCACTTCCTTTTCTGAACCCAGCTTGCACATCTGGGAATTCTCTTTATATATATGGTTGGAGTCTATGTTGCAGGGTGAATGCAATTTAAATAGGAAATGAATAGAAAAAACAAAAAAATACTTTCAGTTACTGGTTATTCTTTTCAATGGCTCAGAGGGACAAAAAACATGGCAAAATTGTCCCCACACCCTCCAGGAGGCATTCAGATGAAATATGTCTGGTTCTCCATTCCTGCATATTTTTTGACCTAAGGTAATGAGGGTTCTTTGTCATTTGTCATTTAATCTGTCTCCATTGGAGGTCCCTCTTATCACCTTCTAGGTGCCTGGATTCTCAATTCACGATCAAAATTATAGTACATACAGACTTATTTAGCATCAATACTCCACTTAAGCATTCTTAAGTATGGGAATATCAGGCTATTTAATATGAGATCTGGCTGCTTAATGATTTTAGGCTATTTCATTTAAATGGGCAAACACACACACACACACACACTACTCTCCTTAGGGAGGAACATTGTCCTAATTGTCTTCTCATTGTCTAGGAATATCCATGGAAAATAATACTCTTCCACAGGCATTTATCTACCTAAATAAGAAGTATGCATTTACTATTGCCTTTTAACATTGAGAGCAGGGATTATCTTGCTTTCTCATGTACCAGCATTTTAAGGGTACTGAGCAACTAGGAAAATAAAAGCTAGGTCTGACTGTGTTTGAGACTATCCTAAAAAGTCTACCACTCAGCAGGCAGTCTTTACACTATCTCCAGCATATATAGATCCATTCAATGATGAATCTATCTAATCCCTGTTAATGTCAACAAAGATTTCCCTATCCAATGGGAAGTAAGATTTCACTAGCCTTCTGTATGTGGCCAATAAGTAACCAGTCACTGGTCATCCCTACACTGGCTATCTGTCAACAAATGATTGCATCAATCTGATTGCAAACGATTGCATCAGCAGAATTAACACATATCATACCAACGCAATATACCCTTTCAATTTCTTCTCTATATGCTGATTGATTGTTTATTATTTTTCTATCAGACATTTTACTTATCTTCCTTGTTTTGGGTTAGATGGCTGCATTCCCCAAACAAGGTGATAAATGTTTACTGATAGACTGTTTACTGCTTTATAGCAGTTGTTTTAATTGTAAATTGATTTAATAACTTTTTAAGGGGGGAGGAGGGATTGTTGTTGTTTTAATCTGTTGTAATTTTATAAATCTTGTTCACCGCCTAGATTGGGTTTCCACTGGGGCGGTATACAAATAAACCATATTATTATTATTATTATTATTATTATTATTATTATTATTATTATGTGTATTTCCTACCCAGACATTTGACTTTTTATTCTATCAAGACACACATATGTCCTTAATAGTTGGACTATGGAAGATTAAATACATTCCAAAATAGTGCTGAGTCTGTAATATAAGGTAAAACTAATCCAATGTTTTTTTCATATTTTTTGGGGGGGTGGCTCATGGATCTTGGGGGCCACATGCATCCTGTAGGCTGCACTCTCCCCACTCCATTTTAAAAGCTATTGCTAAATAATGACAATAGTAGCCAAAAAAATATATAGTGTTTGGTAAGTATTTAAAGTGGTTCACATAAATTGCAACAATAACTCATAGAGCCAATGGTATGGGTTAAGAGTTACTCTGCAAGAAGAAAAACGAGCCACACTAGGCAGCCTCCCAAATGCTTCCTTCTTAGTGTAGTTCTCTTTCCATATTCCAGCTTATCTCATTCCAGGGGCTTCTTTCAGCCAGTTAAGCTCCAGCCCATTCTGTATGATTGTTCCTGCAATAGAGGTAGAGAGACAAAAGACAAGTGCATTATCTATTATATATGGTGTCCTCATGATTCCACAATGAAGATGAGACCTTAATGCTGTTAAACTCAGACCTTTAGACCTTCATATCCATAGGGGATCCATCCCAAACCTCCCCATGGATACAAAAAAACCAAAAAACAAAAAATCAGAGGACCTCAAGTCCCATTGTTTCTAATAGAGGCATGCTGTGTACACCACTGCTAGCATGGCCACATGCACATGCCACCATTTTAGACTATGGGGATTGCCATCCACAGATGTTGAAATCTGCAGATGGCAAACCCATAGATGACAAGGTCCCACTATAATTTCTATAGTCCAAAAATCACTACTTAAAGAAAGGGAAACTAATTGTATTATCCTCCTCAAATTTCAATAATGACTTTTATTATTATTATTATTATTATTATTATTATTATTATTATTATTAACCCATCTCTCTCCAAGGATCAAGGCCTGGAACAACAACATATTAATATACTACAGGCCAGATCAGTTAAACATACAACATCAGTTTAAAGATCATATAAAACAAATGTCACCCATATATTACATGTATAATAATACATATTAAAACAATTAATCCATATTTTAAAATTCATGATTTAAAATTAACAATTTAAAAATCATCTGGATAGGCCTGCTGGAAGAGAGTACTGCTGTTTTAAAATCAGACAGCATGTTCAGCTGTCAAATATCTTCTGGCAGGTTGTTCCATAGTCTAGGCATGGCTGAAGAAAATATCCTCTGAGTGACAGTTGCCAGTCTAGTTCTGGCTGATTCAAATTAATGTCCTCGAGAGGACATGTGTGTATGGACCAGATTATACAGAAGTAGGCAATCTACTAGGTAACCTGGACGCAAGATAAGGAGGGCTTTAAAGGTAATAACCAATAATTTGTGTTGTGAATTTATGAAACATAATGCTGGAAACCAGGGCAGACAAATTCTATCCAGGGGAGAATTTGCTCTTCTCCAGGACCCATTGTAAGCCAGGCACACTTTAAAAATGCAATATTTTCATATTTTGTACAAAGGGTAAGTGACCAGAAGTTCACAACTGGGTTTTTATGAATGTCAGGAAGAAATCTCCTCCTACACACACACATACACACACACTAAAGAAGGGCCGAGTGTCTTTCTGTTGAAGGTAAGCTTACATTCCATTGAAAGGGAGGTATCCCAAGGAATTACACCCAACTGGAAGGAAAAAGGCCACAACTTTATTGAATACAGTTGACAAGTAGGGTTGGCCCCAAATGCATGAGATTTGGATCTGGCATCAACCAACCTGCCTGTTGATCAATATACCAAGTTGCTTGGTCATGGCCATGCTTCAGGACAACAAAGAGGTAACTGGTGATTGCATGTTCGCATCTCTACCCTTTGTCACTGAGAGATGCTGATCTGACATTGCCCCCGCAATGGCAATACTGCAACACTCTCAGCACCCCCAGGTCCTGAGGGACTCCTGATCCAGTGGTCCACAGCACAGGAAACCATGCCCACTGAGACCTCATCAACAGCAAGATCTGGCTGGTTGAGGTGAATCCCCCTGTCAAAGGGAAAGGGGACCCCTCCAGGATCTCCAAGTGAGTGGGGAAGAGAGACCTCTGTAGGCTCTTGTGTAGGGAGTTCAACCTGGGAAAATGTGTTCGGGCCCATTGCAAGTTTGAACATTGCTGCTAGCTTTGCGTGGGCCTGCATGCCAAGCTAGTGTGTTATCAACCGACAGATGCCAACAGCCCTTTTGAGTGGGACGCCCCATCCCAGCAGCCTCCAGCAAGAAGAACAGAGCTTCCAGCTCTGGGATTGGAGGGTTGGGGGGGTCCAAAGTGAGCATGCTGAGGCTGCCCACCCCAACACCAGTGCAGCCTTTGGCTTTGCTCCTACTCCTTAACAACTACTCCTACAGGGAGGCAGCCACCTTTTTAGCTTCACCCAAGGTTTCAGAATCCCAGCTGTGGGCCAGCACTTGGCCTCGGATGCCTGCAACTTAAAATCTGCCCGGATCATGCTGCAGGTCTTTAAGAAAATTTTTTTGAAAGAGTGCGGGGCAGGCAGGGTGGCGGGACTTTTCAACACTCCACCCATGCCCAACCTCTGGGTTTCCTCCCTTGGGGTGGTCCTCAAAAAAGCCCCAGGTGAACTCTGCCTCATTCACCATCTGTCATATCCCTCTGGGGCATTGGTCAATGATGCTATCCCCCTAGAGATTTTCTCAGTTCACTATGCTGCCTTTGACCATGCTGTTAGGCTTGTTCAGGTTTGTGGTCGGGGAGCCCTTCTGGCCAAGTGTGATATCCAGTTGGCATTCTGACTTCTGCCTGCTTTTGACCTCCAACTCCAAGAAAGAACTGAATGTCTCAAATGCTGCACAGCAACCCATTGGCATAGCCTCCAACTCTAGTGTGTAAGATATTCATACACATTCAATTTTTTCTGAACTATTACAATATATAATATAGATGGAAATTTATTTAGTTAATTGAGCATTTGTAAGATCCTTAATTGATAGGTAGCCTTTGTTTATCAAACTTGTTATTTCAAGATAGTGTTAACATGAATCAAAGCAAAAGCAAAGCAAAGCAGCTTCATTTATATATCACTTCAAATGCTGCACAGCAACCCATTGGCATAGCCTCCAACTCTAGTGTGTAAGATAGTCATACACATTGAATTTTTTCTGAGCTATTACAATATATAATATAGATGGAAATCTATTTAGTTAATTGAGCATTTGTAAGATCCTTAATTTATATACCACTTCATATGGGATGTCTAAGCAGTTTACAACTGTAAGCTCATTGCCCCCAACAGTTGGGTACTCATTTTAGCGACCTCAGGAAGGATGCAGGCCTGAGTCTAGCCTGAGCCCTGGCTAGTATTGAACTCGCAACCTTGTGGTCTATACAGGCATTTAACCACTGTGCCACTAGGGCTCCTCAGGCTGCAATATCCTACCTATTTGCATAGATGTCTCCCCACAACACTTTGTGGATCTCATTTCTGAGAGGACATATATAGGCCTACATTTTAAAGCTGAAAGTTGAGGGCCTGTGCACTTTCAACTGGAAGAGAATGAAGAAAACCAAGGCATTTGCCTTGAGCACTTTTTTGAAACCAACGCCCTTGGTTTCAGAAGATACGTTGGATGCTTTAAAGCCTAATGCTTAGACATAAAGTATCTATATGTTTGCACCATTATTATGTCATAGCATTATAGCTGGGATATCACAGAACAGGCCAAGACAGTGGCATAAACTATCCTGACAACCTAAGAACATTGAGTATAAATACTGGGCATACTTTCTTAAAGAGAAACATAGAAACTAAGTAGCATTAACTCATATATTTGTTTCTTATCAAGTGTCAGGCATTCTTGAGGATTTGGCAAGATTCCCTAATCCCTCAAGGTCTGGATGATTTACTGCTCCCCATAATGTTCAGTGAAGTAATGATATGCCAGCTGCACAGCCTGTTCACCAATGACAGTCTCCATACTCCCTAATCCAAATCTCGATATAGAGACAAAATCCAAGCCAGCAACTCTACAGTTATACATTTACACAAGGTTTTCATCCCTATTAATAATGGATTGCAGTTGGGCATGCTGTGATATATAGCTAGACTGGCCTTTACACCAAAAGCATGTGGTATGCTCATTCATCTTCTACTCTAGTCTTTTTTAAAACACACACACACACAAAACTGGACCAACTAGTCTAGCAGTGGGCAATTCCAGCTGGCACCTAATTTTGTCCCTGTGTTTGTCCCCCTCCCCTTCCAGCAGGCCATGGTACCCCTGAAAAATCAGTCTGGAAGTGATCAGAAGTCATGTCTGGTTTCCATTTCTGTTTTCTGGGGTTTCGGTGGGGAATGAGAGGATGAGGCAGGAGCCAGATTTGGGAGGAATTGTATCCAAGGTAGGACAGTTCATAGAGAAAGGATTAATTCATTTAGCCAGCCAATCACTGGTCTACTCTGAACTGCAGAAATAAAGCAGTTTTAGCACATAAACTGCCATGGCTCAATGCTTTGGAATTCTGGTGTTTGTAGTTTTGTGAGATATTTAGCCTTCTTTGTCAAATCAGCTCTGGTGTGACAACAAACTACAAATTCCAGGAATCCATAGGAGCCATGACAGTTAAAGCATGTCAAACTGCATTATTTTTTGCATTAATAACTTTTTCAAAAATTAAATTTATGATAGAAGTGGGTTAACACTTATCTGTTACATTTAGCTGCCATTTGGGCTTAAGATAAAGTCCAGATGAGAACCCTTAACATAATGAAACTGAAAAATGACCTTGGTGATTTCACTCAGCTAACATCCCCACTTCATTCCTTTCCTCAGTTTGACAGAGAAGAAAACAGAGGCAAGATTTTTAATTAATTAAAACTCCATTGCTCATCCACCCCACTGAAAAATCTTATTCATGCAATTGCATTTATTAACCATCTTCTTTCTTTAGCTTTCTGGGTCCCACATGGATCCATCTTTGGCAGTGAAGGGTAAAGACCTCACAGACACATATGCTCAGCCTTTCTAGTTAATTGTTGTTTTTGTTGTCATTGCTCTACAGACTTTATGTGTTTCATTGCAAAAACTCAATAAAAATTTAATTAGAAAAAAAAACCCTACACATCCCAGGAATTGATAAGATGGAGCTTCAGCACTTAATGCTTGGTTTGGACATTGAATTAGGGCTGTGGAGACCATAGTTCAAATCCCTGCTCATACATGGAAACCAGTGAGTGACTTTGGGCACGTCACCCTCAGCCTCAGAGGCAGGCAAATGCAAATCCCCTCTGACCAAATCTTGCCAAGAAAACCCCATGATAGGTTTGCCTTAGAGTCGCCATAAGTCAGAAATTACTCTAAGCCACACAACAATAATATAAACTATATAAGTAATGCATGATTGACTGACAACAAAAATAATACTTCAGAAGTTTTTGTTATAATTTCTATTGATAGGAGAGCTTGTTGTTTTATTTTCCATGGTTTTGGTTTCAGTAGTTATTTGTCAGTATCAGAACATCTTATACTGAGCATTTGCTCTCTTTTTCCTTCTCTTGGTCTTTAGACAAGATTTCACAATCATTCAGACAAATGAACTTGGCATAGAGCCTATTAAGAAGTGATTCTAAAGCCTTTGCAAACAGCAGAGAGGCAAAGGGGAAATGCCACAAGGCGCATTAGAAATCACTAAATGACAATCCAGTCTGTGGTAGCAATACCACCCAACACGTCTTCCACACTCCTTTATTGTGCACTGTTTCTCTAATGCCTGTATTATAATGGGATTCACTTGCTACAAGGCCTTCTGACATGGCTCTATTCAGAAAGGGGACATTCCAGAAACTGCTATCAGTAATTGACTACCAACAATCATAATTAATTACCCCCTTCTTTGATTAGAATATATTCCTATATCCAAGCAATTAATGCAGTAATGCATGTCTTGCAGTGGGCCAATTCATTCGTGAAAAGGTTTTGAGGGGGAGAAATGACCACTGTGCCAATACATGGTTATTATCTGGGTTGTTACTGATCACTTCCCACAATATTTCAAACCTTATTCTTATAGCACAAATGCAATGTATTATATTCCATTAAATGATTTACTTCCTTTTAATAATAATAATAATAATA